AAAAAAAAAAACAACAACCAAAAGCATATATTTTTCGATGATAATCACTAGAGCAGAACGGTTCCATGACAACGTAACCGAAGACAATAGAAAAAGTTCCGTTTACAAATTGTTTTGCGTCCACACTAATATATATTTAGGCACTGCCTAAAAGCGGAGCTCCCGATACGAAAGTCACAGGTAGCCCAATTTGAATGAATCAGAAAGGTAAAAATTAGCCTGCGTCACATCCGGAATTTTCTTCGTAAATACGCTAGGTAAAAATAAGATCGGGAAAAAATCGTCAATTATTTTATATTCGAGATGAAGATACTGACTCCCATAATAAAAGCCATGCAGTGAAATCGAATCGAAATGCACTACATTGTTTTCTTTRCGCGAGTATACTCTACCACTAAGGAATTTTGTATACAACTCACCACCTCCCCCAGGGGATAGCTTTGTTTTTGGAAAATTCTTTTAAGCTTTGAATTCCTGGTGAATTTTACTTTAAAAAACGAGAGATAACTACAGACAATCCAACACAATATCAGGTTTAGTGAAATTTACCTTGGATGTCTTTCATTGAAATCGAAATTTCGAAGTTTTCCTAACCTTTTTATGGACAAATAAACACGGCATATGAAGACAGACTAGAAAACTGCTTAAGAAAAGGTGAGCAAAACAAAAGCTCAGTATACTTTTACTTCTTTTACATGACAATGTTAGGTTATGCATATTAAGAGTTTAGGTTTTTTATAAGAACATATTTTTACCGCAATGAAATTAAGAAAATAAATGATTTGGTAGGAAATTGGCTGGAGATCATAACTGCCACCAAATGTGTCATCAGTTAAAACATAGTTTTCTGATCCTAATTCTTCATTAAAATATTTTTATTCCTTAACTACTTTTCGATAAGCTTGAAAACTTAAGCTGTAAATAATAGATTTTGAGATTCGATTTAAATTCGATTTTTTTTTCATTTGTTTTCATGAGCGAGAAAGATACGGAAATCACGAACGACCGAAAAAGTTTCGAAAAACGAAGTTTACATTCAGTTAAACTTGTGAAAAAAACAAGACAAAATAGAAAATAATGCAAAATGCAATGCAAAATACAACATGACTAATTTCTTTGTCAGTAAATTGGCATTTGTAAATGTTTTTGAATATTTTTTTTTAGCTTTTTAAAGTGAAATACATGCTACAAGGTCTTTATATAAATAACATCTCTCAACAACACAAATTTATTAGCTCATTTGTATAATCATATTAGCTCGAACAGCTTAATAAACAGTTGAATATTTGGTGTAATTATATTCATTCAATATTTAAATAAATTACCTTTAGAAAGATATGAGGTTATTGAATGAAAGTCTTCTTAGTTTTGCCGATGGGACCCGCGATAGGAGGGTCAAAGCTGAATTTTTCTTGAACGAAAAACATACGATGRTTAAAAACAACCGAATTGTTAAATATAAAGGTATGCATGTATGGCATGAGACACATTACACATAAAGRTATGCATGTCAACGTAGTACAACTGATCTTTGATGATGCTTTTATTTTTTTGGAACTAATGATGGAGCTTATTTCTTAAGTGAGACAAATTTATTAATGAACACGAGTTATGTGAGCTGGATTCTGGATTCCCTTAACTTTGGACTCCAGATTCTTCCATGATTTTTATTCGGCGCTCAGGGGCACATCTCAGCGGGTTCCAGTTTCCAATTCTTGGGTGCATTTTTCTGTAGCTTGGAGTCTGGATTCCACAATTCTTCGATTGCACGTTACGTCATCGCGGCCATGTTGGTGCCATTTAACAAAAGATTTCTCATTCTCATTGTTAACGGCACCACAATGGCCGCCATGTCTTTGTCTTTTGACTCTCTTGGGAATGCTTGCAATCCATCAATTTGTATCCCAGACTCCCACCATCTATGAATCCAGTTACCCGAATATGTAGTCCTGTTTTTCTCGTTATTTCATATACTGGAATCCTGATTCAATTTCCTGAAGCACGGACCACAGGCTTAATTTCACATAAGTCGATTGCACAAAACTCGAATCTCAATTTCCCATTATAATTGCCGGTTATTCAAATGAGTACGGRTCGAGAAAGATCCGGCAAGCGAACCATGGTAAGTATCAATGTTTCTGATCAACAAACAGGTTGCTTTCAACAGGTGTGATGCAAGTCAAAAGCCTATTGGTTTAAGTACCTGCAGAACTTTGAATGGAGTCGAATGGTTGAAAAAACAGCTAAAACCAAAACAGTGACATTGTTAACGGCTGAGGAATCATCGTTGTTCAGTGAAGCAAAACAAATCGTCGATCCCATTTGCTTTTTTCGATTCCTTCCTTGTGGGCTAAAGGTAAGTCTCTAAACTGAATTGGATTGATATTCAAAATTCTGTCTTTGTAGATGTGTGCTTATAAATAATGATTACCATTAACTGCAAAGCGAAACACTGTTTAGTTTTATGGGAGAGGAATATCAAGGAGCCAGTCATGGTAATGATTTTGCCTAATGATTAGCTTTCTCGAGCCAGTGATTTCTGTCATATTCCCTCTTGAAACCTCTTTCTTCTCCTGTGAACCTTTCTCAGGTTTTCAATCAGTGGCACTGTTTTGAATTTAATCCTTTAACTCGTACCTTAACGATCTCGAGAGAATGCMAACCTTTTAATCGAGTTTCAAGTGGATGAACTTTACTCTAACCTGTCTTTGGACCGATTATCAATGATTTCATACACTCAAGACTAGAGCTGCTTGGAAGACATGCGACAAACTAGCTAGGCTTCACTTCAGCTCACGTCACGTTTTGGTTGACATTAATAATTTTTTCTTTTTGTAATTTTGATCTTCTAATCGACATCAACCAAAAAGATGTCGGTTAGCTTGCAAAATGGCCAGAAAAATGATTGCAGCTTGTTAGTCACTAACGAAGTTATAGAATTGGAGAATTTTWTAAGTTATGAATTTGTGAAGTTTATGGTGAAACACCAGATCTAGAAAAGTGCACAGTTCTAGTATCAGTATCTAAACCCTAAAAGGAGGGTCAACAAGATATCATAATAATTAATGTACTAGTAAATTTCACACTTCTATCTTATAATATCTACCATACATGCAGTATGTACTGTTTAAGCTATAGTGGGTTTTGGTGCTGATATTTAAGGTTTTATTTTGTTTTTCAATTTTGATTATTGCATTTTTTTTCAAACTTGCTATCACTGATTTTAAGCGTTAATTTTATCATCAAGACAAGTTGAATATAAGATTTCTCCTACAAATCATTTCAACTTAAACTATATGATAAAGTACGAAAAAAATATCTTCCTATAAATGAACTTTGCCTCCATATATGTGACTAAAAATGTAGGAAAAAAGGAAAAAGTTGATAAAAATATATGTAAAAGAGAAGGCAGGAATATCCTCATCAAATACCTTAGCTGCATTTTTTGGTCATTACAAATTTGTTTAGGTATTGATGCTTTCAAGCGTATACCTCTAAAACTAACAAACATAACACACACAACACTTCATTCCACAATAGAAAAACATCTTGAAAGTAACTCATTCATCCATGGCACTTTAAAATTTATAAATCATTACATCTATTGAACAATTTAAAAAATGACCGTCTTAATATTGTATTTCTTATACTAGGTTATAAAGTTACTTTTAAAACTAATTCTTATACTCTTTTTTTTTTTTTTTTTTGTCTACCAACGCTATTTTGATTTGCGCTCGTGATACAAAAATTTGAAAAGGGTTATAGAGTTGGCGTGAGATTTATATTCCCAAGCCTAAATGTTTTTACCATCTTAAGCTCCAAAGCAATTGATTAAAAGCCCGCTCCTGCATGTTTTATCATACAAAATGATGAATAATATTAACAAAATGATAACTTAAAAAGTATTTTTTCCTCCGGGTTCAGTGCATACCATTTATCCATGAAAAAGTTCACTAACAAAATTGTACAAATTAGTGCAACGTTTTGTAGGTCTACTACTGTTTACTGAGGTCTAGAACTTACTAATTTGTGCATATTTGTGCAAGATTTCTTTATCAAATCTTTAATGTTTTATTTTCACACCAACGCAGGCGCCTTACTAAAGTAATATGTTTTCCTTTATTTCCCAGTATTGCTACAGCATTCGCCTTACAAAAATATAGATTTCAACAATGAAAGCGGTGGTGCTCTTGTTGTCGTTTCTCTTCAGCACAGGTAAATAAAGCCTTTTCAGTGTCAGGGACAGTGAAGACAATAGTGGGGGGGGGGGACTTTTTCCCTGTTTCCATACTAGTCTCTTATGCTTCCCAATCTTAGCCCCTCTCTTTTTAGGGTGGTCCGCGGTCCTCGTTTGTTTTACGTTGTACATTTAAATTACGCAATACTACAAGGTGTCTTATTGAATTGATTTCCAAAATAATAAATGTGTTTGAGAGATTAAAACATAAAGAAGCTAACAGTAGGAGGCTGAAGCTCTCCTCGACTACATAAGGATGGACCAATAACAGTGTATAAAAACTCAACCCTAACAATGGATCTGGTCTCCTTTCTCACAGAAATGAAATCCATATTTGCTGCAAAACTTTACATGGATATGTTTTGTCTTCTAACACTCTACGTTTGACAGCATCAGAAAATCGCCATCCCTTTTAAAATCCACCTTGATGAGTAATGTGGAAAAACCCTCAGCATCTGGATTAATTCTGTAATATGGATGAGAGGGCTGATATGGGAATGATCTTGCACGCAGATTATTTAATTCTTGTTTTTCTGTTGCTTGCTTCCATTACAGCCAGTGTTTCATTTGCAAAGCCCGATACTTCATGGTTCAACTCCCCAAGAGTATCCAAAATCAAGTCACCAAATCTTGAGCGTACGTACCGACCTGAACGTTGCACAACCATATACATATGGTTTGCATTTCTTTCACGAGAATAGGATGAAAAACGTCATGGGCGTCATGTTGTAGGACATGACATAAGAAACCAATACTTCGTCAAGAAGTCATCCAACATGGCCGCTATGATGTCCCATTCACCGCAAAATAGCGATAAAATGATCATAATTTTTCTCACATTCTAGAGATTGCTCATTTAGTGTTCAATTATCGCTTTTCATCATTTTCTATTTTACTTTGACTTCACTAGAAATAAAAATGGGGCCAAAACAACTGGACAGCCATCACGTGATGCAAGTGAACAGACAAAAACTGAAGACGATTACAGGTATACAGGCCTCTGGTACGATTTCGGGACTCGTTAAGTAGCTTTGTGTATCTAATATTATTGATACCGCCCCCCCTTAAATCAACATTGAATTAAGGTCACTTATCAACCTTCGTCTTTTAACGCATGCAGAATTCGATCTTTGAGTTACTCGTTTAATAATACCAAGTTTTGCCTTTCAGATGTAATAGATGAAACGTTGAATGGTCATAYGCACGACTCGAAGGACGACGGGGTTAAGGCTGAAGGTACTGAACATTATCTATCAATACGTAATTATGGATGATGATGATAGTGGCGATGTTGATCTTGCTTGATGATGACGATCAAGATGACTATGAATCATGATAAAATGACGATCTTTGCTAGATGATGACCATGACGATGATACTATGATGATAACTATGATGGATGATGATGATAATGAAGATGATGGCGATGACGATGATGATGATGACCATAATAATGATGATGATGACCATGATGATCTATTATGATGATATATATTTCCTATAATTTATTTCTAGCAATATAAACTTTGCGCTCATTTAGCACCATGGCTACAAAATAGTTTCCCTTCTAATCGACAGATTTTTCTTTACTTTTAGAACTGGTATTCAAACCATCTGGTTGCTATGCTGACGACCCGACGAATCGTGCATTACCGGAGCTGCTGGAAGACCTTCAGCCCAGCATCGATTGGATGGACTTGAATAAAACCATCAACTATTGCGCAAAGCTCGCTAAAAAGGCAGGTTACACTGTTTTTGCACTGCAGAAATTTGGCAAGTGCTACAGCGGAAAGGACGCCTTGAGTACGTATGATAAGTACGGTACTTCCACCGAATGCGTGAAAGGTGTAGGAAGAGATGGCGCTAACTTTGTCTATTTGTTCAAACGTAAGTATAAACCATGCAAGGAGTATCAGGTACCGTTACTGAAAAGACCTTCGATTTATTAAGACCCACCCTGAAACAACCTGTAGTCAGGGCACAGCTAATTGGGTTTTGTGGAGGAAGGAAATCCGGAAAAAAACCTTGAATCCAGAGACCAAACAAACTCTACTCCCATCCCCAAATAAATCAAACCCAAGACCCTAGTGATGAGAGGCGAATGCATTATCGCTACGCCATCCTCATCATTGATTCGTATGAATATAGAAATATAATCTCTTGGCAGCATGAAATTCAAAGTGAATTTCTGAATTATCTTCATCTACCTTCCAGTGCCCGTTGTACCCATGAAGCGACCAACAGTACACTGCTTTCCCAAGACATCACAGGCCGAGCTCCCTGGCAACCGTTTGGTTGCTATGGCAGATCTAAAATTAGGAGATCGAGTCAAAACTTTAGACTCTCAAGGCAAGCCCATCTTCAGTGACGTCATCGCTTTTCTTCACCGACACGAGGATGCTGAAGCAGAATACTTATCACTTGCTATGGAAAATGGCCGCAGTTTGAAGGTTTCGAGGAAGCACCTTGTATTCCGAGTGGATGGCAACATTAATGAAATCAATGCTGTATACGCATCAGATATAAAGGTTGGAGATATATTAAAGACTGGCCCTGATGGACAGAGCTCAGTGACTGAAATCACCATGACAACACATGTAGGGGTTTACGCACCCCTTACAAGGCATGGCACCATGATAGTCGATGGAGTTCTCGTGTCTTGCTACGCCCATTGGTATTCACATACAATAGCTCATTTATCAATGGCCCCACTGCGCATGTGGACGGAAATTACGTCACTACTGACGTCATTCAGCAAGTTGTTCATAAACCATAGTTTCACTAGTCTGAAGAGCGACTTTGAAGGGGTTCACTGGTACGCCGAGTCTCTCATGAGTATTGCACAAAAATTCGTACCACTGAATTAAGCTGGAATTTAATAGCATGCAGACATTGTTTTATTAAATACATGAACGACATTCTCCATGGATACTGTCATTCTTAATTCATCGACTTTCAAGTACATGCAAGATGAACTTGGCTGTTGCAGAAAGTGTTGCCTTGAGCTTTGTTTACGCGGCTTGCATGCACCGGAGAAATATGAAGTTCATAACTCATTCGGTAAATTAGAGAGGATTGTCCTACATGTATAGTATACATTTCTCAGCCTCGATTGCCTAAACGTGCTTTGTCCACTCAAATATACCAACATATTCGGAAAATAGCCAATGGAGGAGACTGCCCTGCATGTATATTACACCACATCAGCCCTGGCAACCTAAAAAACCTCGATCTTTTTTGTTAATAAAAGTTTTTTTTACCATGCATACACCATGGCATAACGGTTGACTATATAAAGGCTGTGAAGAACGTCGAACTGAAATGCGGCCTAGCATAAAGAAGTGATGTGAAGTGCTGAGGGTAGCAACCCTAACTACCACTGGAGATGTTCGCTATGTAATTCAATTATTACTGGATGTGTATTAAACCTCAATGAGTACTTCAATCCTAAGGAACCATCTAGTCAGTTATTGGGCGTCACTGCAATTCCTCTGTTTGACCAAAGACGTCACTTGTACAGTACAAGAAATACAAGACAAAATCTGTAGCACGTCAGCTGGCACAAGAAACGCCCACAATAAACTGATGACAGCTTTGCAAGTGGGCGACGAGGAAAAGGGGCGGAGTCGTGACTTTTCGCAGAGAAGATGAAAAAAAAACTTATATCAGAGGATTACAATTTGCATCACGCTACGAAAGAAGGATGAGAAGGGGGGTCTATTTTATGCCTAATATCATCCTCTTTCCCAGTAACTCTTTAGTCTTGGAACAAGGGAGGCTCGGGCTTGAAAAGTTTAAAGAATTTTGAAATTGTCAATTTCTAAACACCACCACATCGAGCTAAAACTTACATCCAGTTAGCTTTATCGAGCCGCGTTACAATAGCAGAAAATAACCGCAGAACAGCGCAACGCAGATATCCATACTATCTTGTAACAAAAAATTGATTCATTGATTTTTTKGCTGCTTATTAGTTTATATTCAATTACGCCATGAAAAATCGGGCACTCATGAAGTTCGTAGACAATCGAAAAAAGTCTAGAGCATACGTTAACGCTAATGAGGTCTAGTACATGGTAACATTTCTATAGTTATTAGTATCGCAAAAGTAAAGTTATTCAAAGGTTTGCAAGAAGAGTTCGATAGGTGGCAGAAAGTGTTAGCAATTGTGCCTGCAAATCCATACTGTTCCTTAGAATGACTCAATACAATATTTGTACATAAATCGAGAAATAAAGTGAAAAATACTATGGTTACTTGACACCGTCTTGTTATTCTCACACAATTTTGATCTTAAATCAGAAAATTTACTCTACAGAAAAGATATGAAATACCAATCGAAGAGTTTTAGTACTCGGAACGATACACTACATGCATGCATGAAAACAAATGCTCTTGGCATCTCCCATGCTTCCAGGATCAGCCTAAATCAGCGTAGAAAGCTTCATTCCCAAAATGAATACCAACACCTTTATAAATTCCTCTCCAGCTTTTTAAACATATTTTCCCAAATTTCACTGAATGGAAAAGAAAAATTACGAACAATGAAAAACTTAATGAAGAAGACGGAGTTTCTCGCATCTTTGCTAAAGCATGACAAATTCAGTTCATTCTGTCACTGGCTACAGTTCTGATTCTTCTTGAATGCAGTGTAATCTGTGTAAGCGAAAGCTCTAAATCTCAATGTTATCGAGCCTTAACCAACCTCTGAGTTGAACAAGACAGGGCTACAGTAAACTCGAAGATCGAATTAGAATTTATGATGCTGAGTTTTTGGCGGAGGAGCAAAAACGGAGAAAAAACTTCGAATGAAACTTAACTCTGCTCACATGTGACGCGGAGTCTAGGAATAGAATCCGCGAACTCGGGAGTTGGAATGCCGCGAGTCTGCTACTGCTACACTATTTAACTRGGTTTCATAGAGTAAACGGGTGGAGGGATTGTAAAAAAAGAATAGGGAGAAATAACAAGTAGAATTTTTTATTCCAGTATCTGTAATCGTTACAAAATTCTTTTAAAGCAAGCTGTCTGCCTAATCTAAATTAGCATTGGTGATTTGCTTGCTTGGCATATTAAAAATAGGGCGGCTAATTTAAGAGCCCCGGTTGTCCAGATCTTTGACTTTGTAGATACGGACAAGCCAGTGTTCAGTGGTGTAAGCCTCTTCAAGAACATCCAACTCAAATTCCTGGACGAGTGGTATTATTTTTACAGTTTAAAAAATATATAAAAATATAAATTAAAAAGGATAATGAAAATACCAGTATCTCACTCAAAAGGAATTATTTTAAACGGATAAGATGTCCCTCGAGCATACCCGTTACTTTTACCCAGGAGTCTCTCCCCGGATTAAAAAACACGCTTCGTTCTGTTATATAAAGCCCTTGAAAATTTCTTCACATTTGATGAGGTCGCATCGTTCCCCTAATTCTTTGAAGGTACTTTACCTAGGGCCGGACTACATTCAATTTATTCTTACAAAACCATTGCTTTAGATATATATATAAGAATTATACAAAAGATAAAAACCCTTATAACTTCATTACAACATCGGGGTACATATAAAAAGAAATTTTTGGGTACAATCTTAGATTTTTTTTTATTTCTGGAAATTTCAAGAATCAAGTAAATTTCTGAGACAGGGATCTCCTATTACGAGGAATTTGAACGAATCTAAACTTTATAAGAATTCAAAGGATAAACACACACACACATACCTTATTTCCAATTTCAGCATTTCGAACACGATCGTATCCAGTTGGCTTGCCTGAAAGAAAGAAAACGAGTCATATAGAAATAACGTTGATGTTTGGACTTGAAAATCTTGAGTAAAAAAACCTTGGTTTAATCCGTGCTCCCTCTACCCTACCCTCACCCGTGTTGTCATTAGCTATGGGTGTAGTTCAAGTTCCCAGACTAGAAACAGAATGCCTCTTACCAACAGGAGCGGATCCAGGAATCCAAAAGAGGGGGTGGGGGTAGGGATGGACGGATTCGCCGTTAGACAAATCTCACCACTGACTTTGCAAAACGAAACCAGAAATGCTATATTATTTTTCTGTGTTCGTCCACCCTCCTCCTAAATTCTCCTATGACCCAGAGCACAATTTATAAGATATCCCATGCTAGAATGTTACCATCAATGGATCTAGAGTGGAATTAGTGCGACTGGTCGTGACTTACCCTGTTCAGTGTAGACAGAACCAAAGCGATAGTAGCACATCTTGTACATGAGGCAGTTGAGGAGCACCTGGGAGCCCTCCYTGTCTACACGGAATTCCCCTGTAGGCGTGTAGTAATCATGTTCTTTGATGTGCTTGCCTTTATCGGTGCTACCACCGATACGAACCATCCACAAGAACTTGTTGATGTCTGATGATAGAAATTGTCAAAGAAAAATCAGTCACTGCCTGGTGCAATTTATTTTTTTGTCTGTCAACCACGCTGAGAAAAATTATAATCTAGCGGTTTCCCTGTGTTTTGTTTTGTTTTTGTTTTTTGCGGAGGGAAGAAAACCGTAGATTAACACTCCAAGCATGAACAAGAGTACATTGCAGCACATAACATGTTTTGCAACAACAGCACCAACACCTATTCGAGATTACGAAAAAGATTGCCAAAAGTTCAAGCAATTGATCTTTTCTCTGCAACATTCTCAAAATAGCACACGTTGTAACAATGGACAGGTTAAACGGTGGAATATTTTTCGTTGCCACAAACTTTAAAAATGTGCTGAGAAGAGTAGCACGATAAAAAAATGGAACGTATATTGACAGCTTCAGCAACAGTCAATATAAATACTTAGGTAAGTTAACAGTTTTTTTCTCCTTACCATCAGATGCATAGCCAGTCAAACCGCCAAAGATGACAAGAACATAATCAACATCTAGTTCTCTCATGATCTCGTACGCCTTGTCTTCTGGAGACGCCATAGCCTAGTGGAGAGAACAAAGTGTAATGTCTGAATCCTGTTCCGTTAAGGAATACACCACTTGCATGTGACGTCAAAGCAGCTCAATTTGGAGGACAAAACAGAAGAACTACAATCTCCTGAGAATTGGGAACCTATTGTTATGTCTTCCAAATTAAGCTACATTCCGACGTGCTGCAAGGGGTCTGTTAAGGATACACGATGCGAGGTTGCCTGCAACGTTGGGGATCGCAAATTCTATGGGATGCACGTTACGCATAGCTACCATGTTGCTTGACAATACAAGCATTCCTCATTAGCTGCTCTTGTTATTTATTTTGCTCGTAATTTACCTATTACGCATGTTCTTATACCATTTCCAAGTCCATCCTACACGGCTTACCCCCCCCCCCCATCTATCATAGCTTCTCTTGTTACTATAGATCAAAGGAGATGGCGGCTGTTTCATTGTTATTTATATCTCAAGCAATTTTTCGGTCACGTGGATACACTCCAATAATTGTGTCCTCTTCAAATGCGTCACGGCTTCTTTCCTTCAAAACTAGTCGTTTTCACGATTGATTCTACCGATTCTTTGCGAAGTCGTTTTTACCCCTCAAAGGAGTGGTATTTAGACTACTGTACAAAGAGTCCCTCACACCTCCCTGGTCAAATTAATCATTTTAGTGATCCTATAAAGAGTAGTTTAACTCCTAGAAGTATTCAATGAATTCCAGAAGGTGTCAAAATAACTCCAAAAAGAGATCAAAATGGACGCTTTTTTGAAAGCGCTGACATGACCCATTGCCCCACCCCCAAAGTGTTCAACACGAAATGGATAGACATATTTTGGAAAACTTTTAATTATACAATGTCAATCGCAAAATCGGATTCCTAAGGAAAAAGATAAAAACAAAAGACTGCATAACAATAAGAAAATACACGCATACGCGTTGACTGCACGCGTTGAGTTACCGCGAGCACTACACGCACTTGAATGTAGTCACTGCGGCGACTGCCTGCGGAAATCGCGCGTGGACATGTTGACATTCCTGTGAGCTGTACTGTACAGTGTAGGCCGACGCAAAGTATGTTGCAAGCGATTTTACATTTGAGATTGAACGAGTATTCCATGTGGTCCTCCTACCTGACCAACTCTTGATATATGCGTATTGTTCCAAGTATTGTTGTCCACTAAGATGGTCCGGTTAGCCATGGCTGTTATCTGATACCCGTAATCCCACCACGACATTACCTTAGAGTTCTGTTAAAAAATGATAAGAAATATTATTTCTTTAGAAAATAGGAGTTGAGATTAGCTCTATGCTTTTCATCTAATTGTTCCACTATGACTAAAGAGCAAAATAATTGTTGGGTTCGGATCTGTACGATCTTACACTTACAGTAGTTCCAGGATTTCAAGACAAGGTAAATTTTGTGTGTATCAAAATTCTTATAAATACCTCAGGTGTGTTCTGCCTCAACCAGTAGTAAGCCTCACGGAAGTCATCAAAGATAACTCTCGAGCCATCATGTTGTTTAGCCGATAATACGATAGATGGGGAGGAATAGGCTTCTGATGTCACCCAGGTGCAGTGGAAGGTGTAAGTGATCAGGAATATTGTCATCATGCCGATCATGACAGATGCAACCTCGTTCTTAATGGGGTACGTGGGGTCACTCTTCTTGGCGACTTTCTGTGGGCGACGATGCGATGTCTCTAGATTCTAGAACAGATGATCAAATAAAACTGAATAAATAAGGTGGAAATTATTGCATGTGTTCAAAATGAATACGATATTTGTAACAATAGGTAGGAGTGCTTGAGAAAAGAAGTAATATAGTGAGAGCTCTATTAATCAGACACTCTCAATGATGCCAGCGAATAAAGGATGTCCTGGAAGAGAGATTTCTTCTGCAATCAATACAGTAATACATGTGCCTGCACCTCTATTAAGGAGACACCTTTGAGATCTCGCCTGGTGTCCACTTAGTAATGGTGTTCCATTAAATACGAGAAAAAACTTTGGGATGTTTTAAGGTTTAGACAAACCATAACACCCTAAAATAAACGAATAATTTGTATTTTCAAGTAAACAAACACAGTGTTACCATTTACTTTATAGCAAGTAGGTAAGATGTGTAACTGCTTGTTTTATGAAGGTTTTCTTCTTAATTAGTGGTATGCTTAAGAGGTACAGTACTACTGTAGCATAATCTGTAAGATTAATTGCTGGAATCTTCTATATAACCCCTGCTCATCAGAGAAGAGATTACAATGGATAGCACACGTTACTAACCAACATTGGAGCCGGGGACTTAAAAGAACCACTGAGGATGTAAAGAAACCCTGGCAGTGACCACCCTCAGTGCCTACACCTTATACTAACCATCTCTCATGCTTGTAAACGGCATAAAAAGCAATCTGAGAATCACAACTCAATGTAAAGTTCCTTTGATTATATCCATGTAGAAAGGGCGCTATATAAATCATAAATCATTATCATTATTATTATCACATGTTATGGCATAGTTTACCTTCATGTAGGTAGTCAGGATGGTGGATACACTGATGCCAGACAAAATGCAAGCAACAGGTGCAAGGACCAACATTAGACGAACCATGACACCCTAAAGTAAAGGATAAAACTTTGTATAGTAAGGTAAACAAACACTCCATCACCATGTATAGTGTATGTGGGGGAGCTGTGCATATTAGTATTTCAATCACTGTTACATCACAATGTGCAAAAGTATGACCATATTTAATAATGCTACCAAAACGAGGGTTTACACTCTCATTTGGTAAAATCAGCCAACTTTGCATCGAATTATGTCACTGATGCCTGTGCATAGAATTACTTTACGTACCTGAAACATTAAATGTGGTCATGAATAGAGTACTTATGCACATTGATCTGTAAAAATGGGGGGGGGGGGCGTGGAGGAAAAACATGATGGGGAGGGAGCAGGAAAGAGAGAAAGAAATAAGTAAACGATTGACATCTTGGTATCAGAGTGAATCTAAGAGTTTGAGAAAAAAATCTCTGTAACAAGTATTTCTGATGAAGTCTCCTATGGGCCTGGGGACCCAGTTAACCTCCCTTGGACACAATCCAAGGGGAATAATGCCTTATATGTGGCATCGCACTACTTACAGCAAAGTAGATACTAGTGATGCCATACATGATAATAAAGATATTAGCATCAGTCAGCTTGCTGAAGCAGTAGTACAAGCCCACAGGGAACATGAATACCAGCATCTGAAGATCAAAATAGAATGATGACCATGTGGTAGGCTGATGCTCGGAAACTGATGCAATGATTGGAATGTTGTTCTTGGCGTAAGATGGGTCAAGGAGAGAGTAGAATCGGCCAGTCCATGGAGAGATCTTGCCAGTAGCTGTGAGAACACCACCAACCAAGGACACTCCGACCACTGCTGTAGCTACTACCACTTTGAAGAGGAACTGGAAGTGGTCACGTGACATGCGGGCACGGACGTAGTCAACGAAGGAATGGATCTGGCACAAACCGAATACTCCAAAGGCCTAAAATAATAATCATTATTCAAAATATCAATAAAAACTGGCCAGAAATGTTGGACACTTCCATTGTCAAATTCATGATTAAATCATAACAAAAATGCAGTAACGAAAATATTCTTTATGCTAGTAGCATTTTTCACTTCCAACAATCTTACATGTACTGTATCTGTGGTTTAAAACCTCTTTTTTACATTAGTGACAGCCAATATATGCTGAACAATTTATACACAATAGTTACTGAGGCTGGAGTTGAGGTAACTCTTGACCACAGACTTATTAGTATAGGTTGGGCCTTGTTTACAATAAAGTCATTTACAAAAATCAACTAACTTAAAGAAATTAAAACTTGAATAATACCAACAATTATGGATGCGAAGGAGTCACTCTTATGAAAAAGGCTAAATCTGAATTTAAATGAGTCTGTGGTCATCAAAACAGTGGTGGACATTGAAAGAGAGGTATTTGAGGGAAGGTTGGGAATTAACATGCATTTTCTGGTGATTTGTGTACTTACTGCCATGTGCTCGCTGGATTGTACAGGCTGAAAACCTACGAATGAGATTTGCATGGATAGAATGGTACCAAGACAATACACCTGGAAAAAACAAATAAAATAAATGAAAAAAAAAAATGCAATTACACTAGACAACAGATTATGTGAAAAAGGTGTACACTGCACTGTTAGATGAAAATCATATATGTATACTTATATCAAGTTTATATCAAGTGTCTTGTCCTCTAGCCAAACACTGAGAAGGTCGAAAAAATCAGCTTAGTTTTTATACATGTAACCAGCTTCAAGGTGCTTGGATAGAGGAAGAAAAACTTTTTTGTGTTTAATGTGGCTTTTGGAACCTATAAATTTTTCTTGGGGAAAATCAAAGGAAATCTTGACCAAAAACTTCACATTTTCTCAATACCCTGAAATAGCCTTTGGGCTGATCAAAGTCTGGGCACTGGGCATGGAAAGAGTATTCCTTATATTATTGTAAATGATACAGTATGGGCTATGGTTACTTCCTATCATACTATACTTACAGCAGAGTATGCTACATAGATCCTGTGGGAGAATCTTCCAGTAATCATCAAGACCAGGACATGAAGAGGGATCAAGTTGATCAGAAACACATATCCACCCCATGATGATACCTGGATTATAAACACAAGTTACATGTACATGTATTAATATAGTCTTGGGGTATAAAATCTTACATGTTATAGCGGTACCTGTCAAAGCAAAAAACTTTCACTACTACTACTACATGTATATATATTTTTTGAATTTAAATTCCAGGGCAAAACACAATTGGCCATTTAACAGACAATACAGTGTATCTGACCAAGACTTACACTTGTGAGGCAAAATACAGTACCTCTTAGGCCAGTCCTCTTGACTGGTCACACTGACTGGTCACATACAGTACTATTGAACAGTCTAATGTGGCTGGTCATCATAGCTGGTCAATGAACAGCCATGGTTTTCATCTCTATTAGCAGTTGATAAAGAGCAATGCTGTGGAAATGCTGTGAAATCTTCTATACTGTAATGATTGAGAAGCCTATACCTACCATGTAGAAGTAGGCAAGAGCACACATTGTAGCCCAGAAAAGAGAACCGGTCTTGACTGACTTGACCCACAATGCATAGGTCAGCAACATGCAGAAGATGGCAATGCCTTCATTATCATATGAACCAGCAACAGAACGGGAAATGTATCCTGAACAAACAGCAAAAATTTTATCAATATTAATAGAATCATATTACCAAGCAATTGTGCACATAGACTAATTCATTCAACTTTACAATGAAATTTATGCGTCCAGTCTGATAACAACAATAGCTGGACATGCCAATGTAAGCATTTTTGCAAGCATTTAATTAGCATTTTTACAAAAAATGTACATTGTGGATGGGCATCGCATCACATGCCCAGAAAGCCTCGTTATCACTCAGGATTAAAAAACTGTCATAAATCCTGTATTCTGATTGGTTGGGAGTGCATGCTTTATGGAGCACACCGCATTTGTGTACACTTTCAGTTGTACATCATTCCTATCCTATGTTCTCCTACATGTAATACTTCTCCATATTCTGCCAACCCCCACATGCTTCATAACTGTATACAGCAGGTGCACGCATTTTCTATTTCTTCAATGGATCTTCATCAATTTCGGTCAATCTTTATAAACCTTTGCGATTGTTTACTATTATACTTTCTTTCACCATAAGTCGGCATTCTTTCGATAATTCGAGAAAAAGAAATTTATCAAAGGATGCCAACACATGAAGAAAGGAATACAGACTAAAAATTTCATATTTATGGATAGAGTAAAACAAAACATTTATTTTTCTGGTGTAAAAAAAACCATTTCAGTAACATCCATAGTATCACAAAGAACCTATAAGTAAACATTTGCTCATTTGGTATATAAAAACCTATGTGACACATTTTGATACATGTAGCCGTTGGACTGAGCAAAAATGAATGGGTGAAATCTACCGATTTCCATAGTACTGTAAATTGGAAGTGTTAATACCTGGTACAATGGCAATCATAGAAGCAGCAACAAGACCAGCTCCAGCATCCTTTAACATATAACAACATACAGAATTAATACTGCTACTGGACCATGCAGACATGCACTGTACAATTTGCATATGGAGATGTGTACTGTACATGTGTATGGCAAATATCTAATAATTGTCAGAAGAGAGAATTATCATTATATGCACAGGGCTTAAAATAATAGCTGGTCATTGGATAAAGTGTAGCTAGAATTGGAATTTGTAAAGCCAAATATTTGCCTTGTGACCCATTTTGACCAGTTTTATTAAGCCAGAAATGAGGTAAAAAGACCGAGCTAAAACTAAATTGGTTGAAAATGATGATTGCGACTGATGGTCATTATTTTAATCCTTCAAATAAAGTGGAAATTGCAAATATACTAAGAAGATGGTCAAATCAAAGCTATGATTGATCCCTAATGTAAGAAGCTTTTTGTCTGGTTTTCCTCCCTTTGTCAAAATCAGCAGGTGAGTTGAGTGTTGAGTGTTGTAAATGATAGTTCACGAATAAACAATAGTAGTACCCAGTGTGTGAGTACGTGTAGATCAGGGCACGAAATTAACTTTTAAACAAACTAGGAAAACCTTGCTAGTGAGTTTTGTTCTCACTAGGAAGAAATAATGTCAAAGTCACTAGCGATCAATCCTGGCAGCTAACAACAAACATTACTTGATGCTGATTCTAAACTTTTCAGTCCTTCCATTTTTGGACTGTGGCCATACACTGTACTTGCATAACTTAGCTACAGCCTGTAGTTAATTTTTTTCTTACTCGCTAAATACAACATTTCACTCACATTTCACTCAGATAACCTTATATAAGTGTGTATACTGCAAGTGATGGTTGTAAAATAAAGGTGTTTTTTCAACAGGCTGTACCTTGAGTTCCTTAGTGAAGTAGAATGTTACGAGGGTGGTCAGGGATGAGAACAATGGTGCCAGGAACACACAGACATTACGGATGTTGACTGTGATGTGAAAGAAGTTCATGAAATGGTAGATGACGGCAGATGTGACCATCAACCCTATGGTAAACAAAGGAATTATAATGTAAGACAAACAATGAAGGTCAACAAAAACAACTGTCAAGCATTAGGGAAGAGGGCAAAACGATTTTCAGTAGATTAGAGAGAATAAGAGAAAAATATCAAATGCCCTTGGTGAGAATCAAACCCATGTCTTCAGTATTCTAGTCCGATGCGTTAACCACTACACCACAAGGACCAACCACGCTGGCAACGCAGCCAGAATATGAAATATAGGGTACTCGTGATGATCCCAGAGCATTATTTTTTCTCTATAGGTAAGTTGAACACCGTAAATATCAATGGATTACTTCATCGGATTGCAAGGCATCATTTGGCTATCCAGGAGGCAAATAAAGTTCTGCTAAAGTATTGACGTTGATTGATATTAACAGCTCACCAAAAGGGAATGCAAAGACAGATGATTTAAAATGGCACATCAATCACCTGTACCCTTAAAAGAAAGACAAACACACACAATATTTTGTCTTTTTTTTTCTTTTGCACCCTAGCATGATGGCCACCGTATGGTTGAAGTTGTTTATTGCACAAAATAAATTGAACTGTGGGGAGTAAGAATTTCTTTATAGACCATTTTAATAAATCCCACTACTATGCCTTATTTTCCGTCATGCCACATTCATTCTTTTCACATCAAATGTACACTTTTTCAATTTCATTTTTAAATGTCTAAATTTGACAGGATCGGATAAAATCAGGATTGATAGGAATGCCTGGTAACCTGGTAATTGTAGTTTTCCTTTGTATTTAGTATGATTCTTACCAGGATATATTGTCCCACCGATGATACGACCCAAGGGATACCATGCTCTATCATCAAACCAGTTGTGGAAATCGTAAAACCCTTCCTCTACCAGAAACCTTGTGGTGCGGTAATTGAAGTAACTGGAAAAATAGATAAGTAAAAGAATAAGTTTCTGAGAAATTGTAGCAGCATTAGAGTACAGTACAGAAGTACAGTACACGTACATGTAGTGAGCTCGCACTAAACCCRTGAAACAAATGCTAATTTTTAGTACTAAATGGTGATAATCAATCAATAGGAAACAAAGGATTCTGTATGAATTACTACTAATAAGCACTAAATATTCTGCACGGGTTTAGTGTGTGCACTCTATTGCATTTCTAATAACATAAAAAGAGATATATGTGATGTTGAGGATATTTTTGCATATGGGCATCATTACTACAGTAACTAACATGAAGTTTGACTGTTGAACTGGGCCACTACTGCTGTATACTGTGACTATAGCAATAAGCCCTGCTCAATCTTTTTTTTTCAAACCTGACAAAACCTTAACCCAATTTAACCTGTATTTTTATGAGAATGAGATCTTACTGTTGGATTGGGGTAACAATGAATGGTGAAGAACCAAGTCATGTAGTAGAGATGAATATTTAACCTGTATTTACAAAGCTGTTATTATCATAATGTATCCTGTGTGTAAAACTACATCAAAATCAACACTTGTTAATGCAATAAAGTGTAATTCAAAAATCTGGCCTTCTAACATATGCCTGTTCAGTTCTGTACTGTCCTTTAGTTAATAATATGAATGTATGTATGTACATTTATGCAGTTAAAATTTGTTAACCTAGGTTTTCTTCCGAGAATCTAGTTTAATTCCCCTCGATGATTTGAGCAGTATTTTATTTTTTAATTTTGGAAGAACATCCTTATTTCTTACAACTTCATTAAGATGATTTCCCTCTTTAAAAAATAAAGGTTTTCTAAGTAGTTTAATCTGTCTAAAGAAAATTTATACTCTTCAAGTTATGAATATTCATCAAAATACAGTATGAAAGGATTCTAACAAAGCCTAGGTAACCATTTCAAAGTTAGACTCTTTCGTATTATCATTATTATTATCCCATTTTTTTGGGTATTTGAAGAATTCATAAATATTTCTGAACTTTAGTGCTTGTGGAAGTATTTTTTTAGGTAGAATTAAGGTAAAGGAAAATATTACTTTACTTAAGGATTTCTTATTGTGTTCATAATGATGATAATAGTTAGTCATAGGAGATCATTTTATTAACAATAGAATAAATGGGTTTTTAAAAAAAAATCACACAGAAAAATACAAAATAAATATAAAGTAACGGGATACTCACGGATCAAACTCGTGAATAACACTCTCAAACCGCAGAACTGAGAATAACCTCGTTGAAAAGGCTAAAAGAGACAAAACAAGTGGTATATAAGCTTTGATTATAAACTTTCATATGGCTAAAAAATGCACTATTTTGGCTAGGGAAGAAGCCATACCAAAACATGCAAAATCATCCCAAAACAAGGCACCTATGTTCAAATTATAAGTGATTTTTTAATCTTAAGAATGACCGCAAAGTTATTCTTTAATTTTTTAGCCAATTGAAAAAACCCTCGATAATTGTTAGAAATCTTCATCGATACGATACACAATGACTAAGTATCTAACTCCTTGGATTGTAATAAGATTTCACCGATTGCCTTTGAATGGAGCTGTAATCATCTCTGATGACTTTCCACAGCTAAGCACCATCATACATCGTCTTAAGATAAATATATGAATATTTTTTTCTGGTATACTTACACAAGGTCGCAGCGATAGACAATACTAGGAGTTTAAGCAACGTGTCTTGTTTTTCGTGCGAGAGCTTCGGTAAAAAACCCGGCAGAGCAAACCCGTTGGATTCCGCCTTCATGTTTTATCAACAAGGCTCTTTTAGCTTGATAATAGCTGGTTTTATGCACTCGTAAGATCTTGGAGGGGAGTTTGAAGGAGGAATGGCTGAGGGAGAGCCACGTTGATAGCACCTTTGTTCCACAACCAAGATGGAGAAGAGGAAATGGTGTACGTCACGTGACTAGTATATAGCCTCAGGATGGGGGACTGGGAACTAAGAGAAGTGAAATAGCACTTCCGGTGTTTGTGGGAAAACTCAGAAAGAAAGAAAGAAAGTGATAAAGAAAGAAAGAAAGAAAGAAAGAAAGAAAGAAAG